AAGAAAATATGGATTGTTGTTAAATTGATTATTATCAGATAGTGGTGAAGATTTAGTAAAATAATATGATTTATCAACCTTGAGGTTAGGTAGCCTCCATGCTTTTAACGTACATCCTTAGAGCCGGTGACAATAACATTTTCTAGTGGTATGATTTGAAGACATGTAATAGTTTGTGTGTGACCTGAGAATTAAAGACTAGTGCCGTAAATTATGATGATGGTTGTAATTGTATTTATGGCATATAAAAAGTGGTTGCAATTACCTTTGCAACCACTTTTGCAACCATAATTTTTCCTTTTTTGTTTACGGCACTAGTCTTTAATTACAGAACAAACTTTTTGCAAATGCTTCAAACACCAAATGCACTTTCCAGTCATGATGTTCCGGACCCTAATTGTACCATCATCACTACCACCAATTAAAGTGTTTCTTAAGTATTAACAGATTTATTATGGCCACAAAAGGTATGAAGAAAATATGGATTGTTGTTAAATTGATTATTATCAGATAGTGGTGAAGATTTAGTAAAATAATATGATTTATCAAACCTTGAGGTTAGGTAGCCTCCATGCTTTTAACGTACAATCCTTAGAGCCAGTGACAATAAAAGACTAGTGCCGTAAATTATGATGATGGTTGTAATTGTATTTATGGCATATAAAAAGTGGTTGCGATTACCTTTGCAACCACTTTTGCAACCATAATTTTTCCTTTTTTGGATTACGGCACTAGTCTCTACTGAGAATGTATGTGTACATATGCCTTCTTTAAGATCCCAAATACGAACTGTATTATCAGCAGATCCTGATGCTAACACTGTGCTAACAGCATATTGTAAAGTATTGACACTACCTTCATGACCTTCAAGCCTGTGGATCATTTTACCACTAGCTGTATTGTAAACATTAATACACCTGCCATCTGACCCAGAAACAATTTTTTGAGAGTCGAATTGTAAACAAGTAACAGCGTTGTTATCATGTCCTTGGAAAGATATATGGGGCGCGGAAAATAGAACAGCCTAACTGCAAAATCTCAATTTTGAGAAAATCGGAAAAAAAGATCTACATTTCAAGTAATTTACTATTGTTTTTAAAAACTTAATAGAAAATATCTCAAAATTTTACTAAGTAAAGTGGGTATTGTTTCTAAGCTAAAATTAATTCCAGTGGCGAATTACATATAAAAATGTCATTAACTCAAAATCACAATTTTGGTAGTTAGGGCTGTTTCTATTTTCCGCGCCCCATATGCTTATATTGGCCATAAAACCAATTTTTTTGAGTGATAAAGTGTTGATCCTTGTATATGATATTTTTCGATTTTTTGCAAACTAATGAAACTTGATACAGGCTTCCAATATTTAAATATCTCATTATATATAAAATTACATCATCAGGTAACAGGCAAGGAAAGTATTGTTTTCTAGTGCATATTGGAGTGCAACACATTAGTGATTGAAAAAAACCAAAATGACAAATCTCAACCACCATTCTTATAATAAGTAACTAGAGTGACAATAATTGATAAACGCTTACTCTTTTACTTCTACTACTGCTCCGTGATTGTCTTATTTTCTTCGTTTTACTATATTCCTTGAAGACATTTTTGATTTTTTTAATAAAGAAAAAATACACTAAAAAAACCCCCTTCAGAAAAGCTTACAAAAGTTATTTTTATAATATGAAATTATAAAACATTCTCAAATATAAATAAAATCTTATCAAAAAGCCATGACATAATATATTAATAATAATACTATTACTAATCAATAATATGTAAATGCAATATAATTAATTTGACAATAGTTTGATTGAATGATTTTTGTTCTGAGTGGCAATGGTTACGTTTTTTTTTGATCTAAAATTGTTTAAGGTTACACGGTACATCATATGAACAAATAAGACTTCTTGTAAAATTGCGAAACTTAAACGAAACTTTGTATATATACTCGCTGGGATTAAAACTATCGAACAATGTGCTTTTAATAACTTCTGTTAATAAAGTTTTACTAAAAAGGTAATGTGAAGTTCAACATATGTTACGAATTCTATAAGTAAAGTTATGAATTCTTGTCCTCTACTATATGTTATTTTATTATTTCTATCTATATATCTTATATTTATATTGACATTACAATATTTTAATTTATTTAATATATACATTATTTTTACTTTATACATTATATTCTTATTTTATACATGAGGATAATTAATTGTTGAAACATAAGGACATTTAATAGCAATAACATCACCTGGTGGATCAGATATTTTAAAATATTATATTAATTTTAATAGCATTAATGAAATTCTGTATATTTATAAATACTCTTTAGTCTGATCCGTGCAAATTTTATTTGTTTCGTTATCATAAACTCTCCCACTAATTAATTAATAACAATAGCTATTAAATCCAATTCATATCGCCTATTTGGTTTTTTGGACCCTTTTTCAAGCCATACTACTATACCTTATTGAGTCTCAATTTTAAACGAATATTTTTGATGTATAAACTGATCAGTAGAATGATAATTAACCCTAAAAAAATTTATTTGCTCTTCTAAAAAAACAATTTTACTATTCAACAGCCTGTCAAACCAATGGCTCCGCATCAAGACCAATGAGTTTCTGCCAGTATAAGGCATTCATAATAATAATCATACCGTACTGAATTTTGGGGCTCAGCGCATATGTACTTATTGCACGACTTTAATTTAAAAATCTATGTATTAGTATATAATACAAAAAATGTCGATCAAAAACGAATTTCCACTCTGCTCCCCCCTCAAACCAGACAAAGTGAACATTTGTATTACCAAGGATTTCAGGGTTTAAACGTGTTGCTATTTATTATTCAACACTCTCCCAATTATAAATTTTAGATTTTTTGTTTAATTTTTTATTCAATTTTTCCAAGGAATAAGAAATTTATTTAAGAAAAGCATCCAAAGATCTTGCTGATACCAATAATGATTTAAGGCAATTGTGTATATTCTACTTTAACTATACATGTGGTCAAAATTAAAAGTTGCGCGATGCAATTAGTTTAGCGTGAGACGCAATATAGACGCAGACGCAATTCGTGATACAAGACGCAATTCATGACATAGACGCAATGTCAATTTTCCGGATTTTGAATTGCGTCTGACACAATTCATAATTTTGACCACATGTATATTGAACATAATGCATAAAAAATATTTGTGTCAATCTAATATTGTAAAATGCCACTATTCTTCTTTTGGGGGGTTTGGGAATTAAAAATGTTGTTCCGAGACATTTAAATATGATCATACGAAGTTTCCCAAAAGGTAATAGTAATAGTAATACATCATTACGACATACAGATTACACGAACAGGTTTCAAACAAGTTTGCGAGATCGGCGAAACTTTTTATTATAACTTTTTGGAGTTTGTCATGAATGCAATCTACATATAAAATACCACATAATTTCCTTTATCCTTAAATACTTTTGCAATTTGCCAATCAAGACATGTTTCTGATCATATGATTTTTTTCTTTTTTTTTTTATATAAACATTGTAAACGAAACTTAAGAAATTATGAATATGAAAATTATATAAAGCTAAACCAAATATATTATTATCATTAATTATAATTATGAATATTGCCTTAGCTGTAAAAGATCTTTTAAAGATTTAGGGATCTTTAAAACATCCCGAACTGTAACTCCTTCATTACTGTTAATGGTAAAATCAAGTTCTTGCATTATTGAAAGTTGTTTCATAAATTCATCCTGAAAAAAAAAAAAGTCTCTTTAAGTAATATGGAAAAAAAATAAGGAATACACCTGCATAATTACTTACATGAAGAAAGAACATGAGATAAAGGTCTGCTTTGTATTTTGATCTACCTTCAAATGAAAAAGGAATTATGGCAGAAGCCAACTTGGATGCCAAAAAGGTACCATCATCCATCATGTTAAGAGAATATAATGTAATTCAATAACCTAATGATTAGGTACAATGCTAATCAATGATTTGAAATCCTCATTTTTTAAAATAAAAAAGACACTTACTGATGACTTGCAGACTGAATACCTTTATATTCATCACAGCCTTTACAGGAATATCCAAGTGGTCAAGCAAAAAGTGCAACCAGGTTCAAGATGTCACTATGCAATGATTTCTTTGTGTCACCAACTCCATGATCCATTGTTGGTGGTGATGGTGGACCAGCAACTTCCATGTGCCATATTTCTTTATCGTCAAAGATTGAGGCAACTGTCAAATATTATAAAGTAATAAACATTTGTTATTTACCCTTCGCATCTAACTTAAAAATTCCAGAACTGGTGGGTGATTTAGTCAATTTCGCTGATAGAGAATGAGATTTGATCCAATTGAAGGTTATATTTCTGAATGTTGTTTCGTAAAATTTAAAAAGCAAAGAGAGATTCTGCACAATATATTTTCTCTCTCTAATTTTTCTTGAAAGTATGGGGAAAATATCTACCAGGTTATAACTAGAATAAAAAAGTAGGAATAAGTGTCTATTCACTTAAAAGTAACAATAAACAGCAAATACTCACAAGTTGATCAGTATTTTCTCACAATATAGACAGAACTTGTTCTCGTCATCTCCCTTAATTTCTAGCATGATAGCCTTCTTAAAGTCTCTTCCTGACTTCTGTAAAACGAGCAAAAAGATGTCAAATATATTTCCTTCCAATATGCAACTAATTAATATCGATGAGAACTCACTTTCAGAGCATTTTCAAGATAGTTCTCTATTTTAGTCCACATAGGTGGTGCCTGAACATGAACTCAGTTGTATTTTAAAGAGTGTCCCATTGCATCAAGATAGCTAACATATAATAAAGTAATTAAATTTATGTTCTCTAAATTAGATGTTTACTATTAATATATGAAACTCACTGAATAACTTTCCCATCACACATTCAGAGTATGAAGAAGGGTGTCTTCATCCAGAGATGTAGATAATGGTGTCCTCATTATCTCTGGTTGCGGATTAAAATTTTCATTTGATTCTTGTCCCATAACCTGTGCTGAATTTATTATTTCTGGTTCAAGACTTTCAAAGGGCCGTTTACTTGGTGATGTTGGTGTCAACTCTGGTATAATGTTGCATAAGTTTGTTACCGCAGCACTAGTCAAAGCACATGAGTATCTTGTGACATTATCAACCTTGATGAAGGATGTAATTTAAATTATAATAAATAATACTTATTTGAAATGGATGATAATCAAATCCACAAATCCATGGACTTACCTGTTCATAGTTTAATTTTGCAAGTGCCAATCTTCAGAGATTCTGATATTCTATAGAAATCCACAAGGCATCAATTTCACTTCCATGATTGCATTTGCTCTTTAGAAGAAAAAATGGGGGTGAAAAACAATGTAAATGCATCATATATAATGTACAATAAATCTAATCCTACACACTGAACCTAATCTAATGCACACATATTGGTGTTGTGACAAGCCATGGATCCAAGCAGGCATTCAGAGGACCAGCAAACAGTTGATTCCTCCTAGCATGGACAACTGTTGCCATACATCCAAGCAGGCATTCAGAGGACCAGCAAACAGTTGATTCCTCTTAGTATGGGCATCAGTTCACATACACCTTTATTGACTCACACAAAAGCATAAACAAGACCCATAGACTTCACCATAACAATGTACTTGCCTTGCTTGCTAGAAGTTTTGCAGCTCCTTGAATCTTCATTTCATCTTTGCAATTGTTAATAAGAGAACACAGGCTTTTTGTAATAACATCATTTGCTTTTTGATAATTTAGCTTTTTTGGATCGTCTTTATTCTGACATAACCATGTTTCATGAAACCCGAGGATGCTCCAATTATTAACATCATTGTCGTCGAAATACCTATGCCATCTGGGATTTGCCATCTCAAAATATGTGTGTTGTTTTTTTTTTTTTGTGAAACCTGAAAGTTTAATCAGAAAATCACATGACATGCATTTGTTAGAACAAAGCTTTATTACTCCTCAATGATCGGATTTTATTAACAAAGCTTTATTATTATTGTGTATTTACATTTGTATTGAAGTAATTATTAATTAAAAATAAATAAAATGATTTGTTTATATCAGTTTCACATAATCCTTATGTAAAAGAATTTATTTATGTTCATTTCCGCAATTAAAATAGATATGGTTTCTGTGTATTCCAAATTCTGTTAACCCACACCCAAAATAGCCTTTATGTTAAGAAATTATTAGATGACAAAGATAGGATGTGAAAATTTTGAAAAATAAATAAAAAACTATTTGTTGCTTATTCATAAAAAACCTACAAAGTGAACATAAAATTATATATACAATCAAACCTCATCACAGCAAATTTCTTGTTACAACGAATTTAAATATTGGCCCCTTTTTTTATTAATTAAAAATATTTGTCATATTAATAAATTTGTTCCACAACGTTAACAAATTTATATTGCTACTAATCTCATCACAGCGAATTCACGTGACATATAAATTTTATGAAATTATCCAAATTACCAAAATTGACAAATAAAACATTTGAAGATAGCGAATTCAAATTTACATCATGGGATGAAGCCCAAATACAAGAAAAACTAAAAAATTCAGTAAGACTATCTTGCATACCTTTATATCTTACAAAAGAAACTATCTTAAAAAAAATGGAAACTTTTGGAAAAATAAAAGATATTAAATTTAAATTAGTACGTCAATGGCGTAGCGCTCTAATAGAATATGAAGATCATCAATCAATGGAAACCTTAAAAGAAACATGGAGTATTAGATTTTTGAAAGATGATATTAGAATAATGCCAGCAATTTTTAATAAAGAAGAAGCATCAGCAAGAGAAAACCATGTGGTAAAAATAGCAAACCTACCATATGGCACCACTGCATATGATCTGGATGAAATTATGAAAACAGTTAATGCAAAAACATGCATAATACCAAGAACCCTCAAGAAATATGACAGAAAAAGATTTGGATATGTCTATTTTGAAAAAGATGAAGATTTAAGCAAAGCAACCCTATCAAATTTTGAGTTCGAAAATTACGAATTACAATGGGTAGATGAAATGAGTAAAACATGCCATCTGTGTGGAGACCATACACATGTTATCAAAGAATGTCCTGAGAAACAGGAGCGTAAAGAAAAAAGACAAGAATTTTACAAATATGCCAATGTATATAACAAATACAATGTAACAAAACACAAAATTCTCACAAACAATAATAAACCATCATATGCTGAAAAGGTTAAAAATTCTACAAATCAAACACAACAAATCAATAAAGGAGACAACAATAAATTATTAGACCTTATCAAAGAATTAGGGAAAAAAGTGAATGATCTAACATCCTCAATAACAAAGCTTAATGGTTGTATCGAAGCAATTGAAATTAAATTATCAAAACCACAGATTTTTACATCAAAACCTCAAACAAATAATCCATATGAATCTCAATTTTATAATTTTCAAAATGTTCATAACAAAATTAATCATAATAAAACATGGTATCCATGAATACAAACCCTAGATGGGTGCACCATTTCGCACCATGAGCTTGTGAACAGATCAGGTTCTTTTCCTTTTAACAATTCAAAGTCTGGTGCGACCCATGTTGCTGTGTATGTCACCTCATTCATAATTTTATTAAACTCTGATTTCCATTTATAGTCCCTAAGAATTTGGAATTGTATTTAGTGAACTGGATGAGAATTAATCAAGGATCAAATGATAATATTACCATGTGTCCAGAATTCTTTTTATAAATTCAGTGCTCTTTGGGTCTAAGTCAACTTTTTTTTCTTGAATAGATTTTATAGTATTGTCCACATTATGCTGGTAATAAAGATTATAATAAAAAAAAAAACATTATTATTGTTATGCAATTCCAGTGACATCATTGTTGGCACAAGTACCTCAAATACATCTAGTACATAATTATCAATTGCATCCTTTTCTTTGTCTGAGATATCAGGGACTCAATTTTCAAGAGCCCATTTTTTCAGTTCACTGTAGTCAAAATTTCCAGATATTCTACTGTGTTGACTATACATGCAGCCCAAATTGGTTTGGTGAAATTAATTACAGCACTCTATTAAAAACATAATGTAACACCCCTTTATGACATGTGTAACCCCCTTTATGACACTGTCAAAATACTTTGGGCTGCATGTATGGTGTTGACTTACTTCACTGTGATCAGAAATGTTTATGATGTTGGCCATGCAATAACTAAAATAGAATTAAATATATAATTCAATATAGATCCAAAGAAAAGCATAATTTACAATAAGAATCAGGGAATAACCATTTGTCAAATTCATCATCACCAGTTGTATTTCTCTTGCTTTCGCTTTCACTTTCACTCTCATTTTTGCCTTCTAATTTGTCAAATTCATCATCAGTTGTATTGCTCTTGCTTTCACTTTTGCTTTCACTTTTGCTCTCATTTTCACCTTCTATATTGTCCTCTGTTGGATTCCCTATGAGAAAAATAGCAATAAAAATATAAGTAATTATAAACCAGAGTAGCAGCAACAGTTTGAACAACCACTACCTTTAAACAAAACTTACCCTTTTGTTTCAATTGCTTCTTTTTCTTTTTTTCTTCTCTTTGCTTTTCCCTGATCTCTGACATTTTGAAAAAATTTTTGTATTATCTAGGGTTTAGTTAATTTAATGGGGGGAGCATAGATAAAAATCCTTTTATAGATAACTAGAGTGATGGCGAGTGGCAGACAATAACCACCACCTCCATCCTTAAAACACTTACTTGCTTCCTTCAGTTATTTCTTTAACTCTTCTTCTTTTATTGTTGTTGTGTTGTTGTGGCATGTTTATTATAAAAAGAAAAAAAGAAGTTTGTTATTTGATCAACGTGTACACATTAATTATTTATCCTATTGGTTTTTTTTTGGTAGGACAGACACAAATTGATTTTTTTTTCTTTCTTGGAAAAACAATTTATTTTTTGACAGAGTCCAAGGTGACAAAACGTGAGTGTTGTTGTTTGGTTTGGTTTGGTCTCCTAAAGAAAAGGTGTTAATAACTAACCAAGGTACTATTTTTATTTGTATTGATATTTTTTGGTTATTATAAATATTTTAATTGGAATCAAAACATGGAGCAGATCTTGCTGGGTAATTACAAGATTTTCATTGATAATATTTTGCTTTTCATAATCCAAAATATTAATAATATTATTATATTATTATAATCACAAGAAGATGTCAAGGCAGCACACCATTGAATATGAAACATTTTGATATGCGATGTTTGATTATCGGATGCTGAAGCATGCACGCACGCTACCTTGAACATATTACAGTCATTCTCACATATTCCTCATGTAGATAAGGCTAATCTGACTGCAAGTCCCCTGATGATACAATGATGCTGCAGAGTTCCAGGGGGTGTAAAGCCCTGGAGTTTATCAAGACTACACTTTCACTAATTTTCCCAGATCAGAGATGGCTGCTGGCACATTAGCCGAAAAGTTGCCTGCAACAGTCCTGCTAGGGTAAGGGTGGCACTGTGACCATGTTGCAACTCTGGAGGAATATCAAGAGAATCTGCAATTCGTTTCAAGCACAGGGGGGTCACAATTCAGAGCAGGGTTGGTGGCTCTGAGATTGCATTTGGACTCTGATGTTAAGAGGAGAGTTGTAAAATAGTGTTTGTTTTGTATAATCACTTTCCTAAATGCTCTACTAACTAACCAATTTATGATTTTGGGCAGGAGATTGGATGGGGTTTTTGCCCAACCAGTCCTTTGTCTTGTAGATTAAAATTATCACATGATTATATACATCTTTGTCAGCAATATGGCCAACAAGAAAAAAGTCATAAAATGGTTCGGATTTTGTTTGGTAT